TGTACAGCAATAGCATCAGCTGCACCTTCTCGAAGGACGGGGTCGGCCTCCCATATGTGATCTGCCCGAGGTTGATGTCGGGCAAACTCTCCAGGGCGTCCGACAGGCAGCTGTGGGCCAAGAAGACGGCCCAGCTGGACCCCATGACGGGGGACATGGCTCCAAGTCCAATATCGTCGGGCTCGGGCTTCGGTATAGAGATCCCCTGCTTGCACGCGTAGTCGTAGATCTGCTGCGGGGTCACCTCTGGCAGCACAAAGTACTCCGCCAAGGAAGCCGGCCATCGTAGCCGGTAGAACCAGTCGGGAATATCGCCCTGGAAGGAGTATAGCCGTCGCCCATGTAGGATTGACTCGTCCAGCTCCAACAGCGCCAGGGATGCGGGGGACCCCAGGGGGACCCACGGCGGGTCCTGGAACAAGAGATTGACCCGCCTGCAGTCCCAGACCAGGCGGCTCTTCTCCACCCCCGTCCCCTGCTCGCTCAGGTTCTTGACTACGGTGAACACGCCAACCCTCTCGCGTATGTTCTTCACGTAGCCTATCATCCCCGAGCGAAGCATTCGTAGGGCGAGCTCGAGTCGATTGCTGCCCCGTCTCCAGCCCGGGTCGGTGTAGCTGCGCGTGTTTTCGTAGCGGTCCCAGTCGACCTGACCCACTTCCTTGATCATCTCGCTGCCCACATTGCTGAGGTAAGCCCCCGCCGTCTCCGAAAGCCTCTCGATGTTCAGGCCCTTCGTATTCGGCGGCGGCACCGAGACCTCCGAGGCCACCAGCGGGCACATGTCCCCCTTGCTCAGGTGCTTCCTCGTCGTCCTCGATCTCGTCATTGTACGTGTACTCTGATAGTCCAGCGCTCCTTCCCCCCCCAGACGGCTGATCACCGCCCTGCCGTCGTTGATGGTACCCCAGCACTCGGATTGAGCGTGCCTGTCCCAAAGATCGTTGACGATGGCCGTCTGTAATGGGGTCGCAGTCCTCCACTCCCGCCAATCCCTCCGCCGCCTCAAGATCAGGGTCTCCTGACCCAGATGCCCCGCCGCCAGACCCCGAATGGCCGCCGATGCCCTCTGGACTCGAGCGAGTGTCAGCTGCAGCTGCCTCTCGTCCAAGCCCTGGGAAGTAGGCCGGGCAGAAAGCGGGTACGGCAGGATGGGAAGCGTTCGCAGCGGGTCCCGCTCCCTCTCGTCCACCATCATAAGGGACAGGGTCCACCAGGTGACCTGCACCCCGACGCGAGAAAAAGGTGTCGTTGAAGTAGAGGTCGGACTCGGAGACACCGTCGTCCGACCTGAAGAAGTTGGCCGCGCCCGAGAAGCCGTACAGCCAGGGGGACGCGACCAGGCACCAGCCCGCTACCTCGAAGGCCCGCGAGCTCCCAGGTGTCTGCAGGGCGCCGAGGCACCACAACAGCACCCGAATCCACCTCGAGTGTGGCCTTACGCTCTGAGCGTGCACTTGGCCAGGACTTGCCACGGGAGCCCCGGCCGCAACCTATTCGTGATCAGCACCCACCGCGCCGCTGTCCTTGGCGCCCTGCAGGTGCTTCGCGATGGTTGCCCTCCTCTTCAGCTTCTCCGTCACCTCGTCGTCGGCCTTCAGGTTCGCCAGCTCCGTGTCGCCGTCCACCTTGAGGTACTCGTCGGCCAAGGCCCAGTCGACCTTGGAGCGCCACTTGCTCCCGCTCTGCTGCCCCTTCGGTCGCTGCCAGTCACTGAGGCACTTCACATTCTCGTAGGCCTTCCAGATCGCGTAGAGGCGGAGGCAAGTGAGCTCCGCCGCGGGGCTGTTGATGAGCTGGTCGTAGGCGCCCTCCGCCATCATGCGGTCCAGCACCATGGCCAACATCATCACCTCCGAGCTGATGCTCGCCCGCTGCAGCTCCTTCGACCTCAACCACTCGCCCAGCTCGATCTTGGCCGTGCGCCCCGAACGGTACAGCTTGTGCAGCACTGTCGGCGCGACCCTCGTCTTCACGCCGCCCACAGGCGTCATGCGCACATGCTTGAACCTCTCGAGGGTGGCCAGCAGGCCGTCGCGCGGGTTGCGGCTCTCCTCCTTCAGCAACTGGATACGATCCTGCAGCTCCTCGTCTACACCCCCGACCTGCTCCCATGAACCCGCGCTGTCGAGAGACTTCGCCGGGGACCCAGTGCCAGCAGTCGCCCGTGTAGAATCCGTCTGTACCGTCTCCACATGCTCGTTCAGCTTCGAAATGAAGTCGTCGATCTGGGATGTGGTCGGCTGCCCCTCGCCCTCGCTCACGGACTGCCCCTCAGGGCTGGAGGGTCCTGGGTCTGACGTGCGATCTGAGCCGCTGGAACGTGGAGGGGAAGCCCTGGCACCGAGAGACTGTGTCGCAACGGCCCCCGTCAGGTCGGTCATCGCCCTCTGTAGTGCCTGCTGCTGATTGGCCAACTCCGCGAAGAGGCGCCGCGGGGACGGCTCATCGTCGGAGTCGGCGACCTGCGTCCCCAGGACCCTGTCATCCTCGTCGTCACTGATCGCGGAGCCCCTGTCTGAGTCGGAGTCGCTCGCGTCGCCGTATGACCATGCCCAGAGTAGGTACCCCGTCACCAGGGTCCCGCCGATGGCCACGAGGACATACTCGAGGTCCCCGCTCTCGTAGTACTCGTAGATGGTGTCGTACACGTGCTGCACGTCCTCGACGGTCTCGTAGACGGCTCGGGCCCCATCATAGGCCGCACGGAAGATCGAGCCCAGGCGGAAGAAGCGCCAGGCACGCCAGCACAGGAAGGAGATCGCGCTCCACGAACCCCAGCTCCGCTTGGCCCACAGCGCCGTGAAGAGGTTCCCCACCCCGCCCGTGAGCCACGCGACAAAGCCGCCCCTCGCGCTCTTCTTCTTCGACTTCGGCGGGGGCTTGCTCACCTTCAGCTTCCCGTTCTCGGAGTCGACCTCGAGCCTGGCGATCGCCCTCTCCGCCGCGGTGATGACCGCGTCGCGGCTCCGAGCGGAGACGCCAGGGTGCTCTGTCCACTCCACGTTCGCTGTCGGCTTCGTCAGCACCCGCTTCTTGTCCCTCACATCAATCATCACGATACGATGGGTGGGGTCCGCTGCTGCCCACAGGCCGGGATGCTTCGACCCAGCCTTAGTCACCAGCAGCATCACCACCCCCTGCGGCTTGGTGGGGCTCTTCACGTAGATCCTATTCCATCGCGCCCATGGCGCCATCGTCCACCTGGTGGTGGTAGTGCCCTCAATCACCTCCTCCCCGTAGGCCTCCTCCGCGGCGCCGCCGAAGCCCCGCTCGAGGACCCCGCTCTCGGGGATCAGGTAGTGCAGCTCCTGCACCACCAGGAAGAGCAGCACGGCGAGCACCCTGCGCGCCGTGACGACAGCCCCCGAGGCCCCGCGGCGGGGGCAGGGAAGCAGGCTGGTGCCTCGGTCCTGCGGGCGACGGGCTCCTGGAGCCCAAACCAGCTCGGACCGAAAAAGCTATGAGCACATACAAAGATAAGGAGAGCACAGACGGCCCACGACCCCGCACACTGCGACATAAAAGATTGTTTGAAAACAGTTATTTGGGGGACAGGCGAAGTCCCCCGAAGATGCCACGTGACATCCTCAGTCGTTTCTTGACGGTCCTGGGGCCCACCGAAAGTCGGGCTGGGCGAAAGGGGGGTATAGCAAAGGGAGGGTTTGAGAATCAGCTCACGTAGCTGATTTTCCCGGCGCCGGGAGGCGGCCACGTATCGAGGAATGGGCCCGGCGGCGGGGCCGAAACCAGCTGCATACAGCAGATTTGAGAGAGCGTGATCCACCGCCGCTTTACTGTAAAAAATTCCCCCCCCCCTCTTCCTCTGGAACCCGGGGGTTCCCCCACCCCCCCTCCGAAAATCCCACCCCCCCCTTGCTGGACCCGCCCCCCCCTCCCCCGGCAAAACCCCCCCCCTCCCCTAACACCCCCCCTCCCCCTCGAAAACCAGGGGGGTCACTACCGGTTCCTGACCCCCCCCCTCTCCGAAAAACCGAGGACGGAAAACCGGAGGGGGGTTTGTACCGGTTCGAACCCCCCCCCCTCTTCACCGGCCATAAAAGGCCAAAAAAAAAAAAACCCGAAAAAAAAAAAACAAAACTCCCGGTCCCTACCACTGTCCGCACCACATCTCCCACTGTTGTTCCCAGCACCACTGTCCTCACCACCACTGTCCCCACTGGTTCCACCACCGTCCCTACTGTCCCCACCAGTGCCCCCACCACTGTCGCACTGTCCCCTCTGTCCCCACCACTGTTCCCACCACGGTTCCACTCTCCCCACTTACTCCACGGCCCCAACCACTGCCCGACTATCCCCACTGTCCCCACTTTCCCACTGTCTCCTCCGCTGTCCCACTGAGCTGTCCCACTGTTCCCACCACTGTCCCCACTGTCCCCACCACTGTCCCCACTGTACCTCTGTCCCATTGTCCCACCGCTGTCCTCGCCACCGCCTTCACCACTGTCCCCACCACCACTTTACCCTCCACTGTCCAACTGTTTCCACCACATTCCCACTGTCCCCACACCACTGTCCCCACCACCACCATCCCCACCACTGTCCCACTGTCCCCAATGTTCCCACCATTGTCCTCACCATTGTCCCCACCACTACCGTCTCCACCACTGTCCTACTGTCCCCGCCACTGTCCCGCTGTCCCCTCACCACTGTCCCCACCACCACCGTCCCCACCACTGTCCGCACCCCCCCCCCGGTTTTCGAGGGGGGGGGTTCGAAGTGGTAGTGACCCCCCCCGGTTTTCGAGGAGGGGGGGGGGGTGTTCGAACAGGTAGTGACCCCCCCCTTTTCATGATGGAATGGGGGGGGAGGGGTTCGAACCGGTAGTGACCCCCCCCGGTTTTTCGGGTGGGGGGGGGGGAGGGGGGGGGTAGTTCGAACCGGTAGTGACCCCCCCCGGTTTTCCGCCAGCAGCGGTAGAATACGCTCTTTCGCAGATTTCGTACCCCCCCTTTCCCTATCTCCCCCTTTCGTCTGGCCCGAGAAAGTCCCCAGAGGACGGACAGAACTTCGGAGAGCCTCCGCCTTGCCTTTCCCTTCTGCGCGGGCGCGGCCGGCTGCACGGGCGCCGAGCCCCGAGTGCAGCTGGGCGGCAGGTCGGCCGGCGGACGCAGGCGGGTGATGTTCACCTGCTGAGCTCTGCCCAGGAGCCCCTTCGGTGGTTCAAAGCTGGGGTCCGCAGGGATGGAGACCTGAGGACGGGAGGGGATCCAAGGACTTGGATGTCATCTACTTGAGGCACCTCGTCCTCGGGACCCCATCCCTCAGGACCCCATCTTGGAAGCACCGACCCCTCGTCCTGCACGCTCCGCACCTCCCGCGTGGCAAGTGCCGCGCAGCGGCGGCAAACGAGGCCGGCCGCCGCCGGCCCCGCCACGGCGGCACCTGCCGCGAGGATGGAGGCTCTGAGAGTGCAGGCGGAGGGCGACGAAATCTATGCACATCCACTGCCCCGTGGCCAGGCCCTTCCGGGGCCAAGGAACTGCGTACACGCCTTCCCAGCCAGGCCTGGAGGGCGTGGCGTGTACACCGCTGCTGGGTTCAGGCTGGACCTGGCCAGGGAGGGTGCAGGTGGAGTGCGACGAAATCTATACCTATCCACGGCTGCCTGGCCGCGTCCATCCTGAACCCAGCAGCGGTGTATACGCCACGGCCTCCAGGCTTGGCCAGGAAGGCGTGTACACAGTTCCTGGTCCCCGGAAGGGCCTGGCCACGGGGCAATGAATGTGTATAGATTTCGTCGCCCGAGAGGGTTGCTCTGATCGGGGATCGAGGAGGGAAGGCCCTGGGCAGCTCTGGAAGGTTCGGGGGGCGCGCCTGCCCCCCATCCTCGAGTACACGCAAGAGCGGCCCTGGGCAAGAATGGCCTGTGTGCGAGGCGGGGATTTCTCCATATCCACCGCCCGTGGGACCGACGTCCTGGGGACCCACTGGGCGGTGGACATGGATAGATATTGGCCCCTGAGGTTCGTATATATCCATATATCCACCGCCTGTGGAGGTCCGCGAAGATCGATCCCCCAGGCGGTGGTTATGCATAGATCCCCGCCTCGGACGTTGGTGCTGCGCGGCTTCAGGGGGGTGCGGGGAGCCACATCCAAGCACGCAAGCTGCTGCTGACCGACGCATCGCGTCCAGCGATCGGAACACACCAGCGCGCCGGCACCAGAAGCCAACAATGGGAAGGGCCACTCTTGTGCGTCCTGGGCACGCGTGCCTCCGGAGGGCTTCCGGGCACGTCCGGGGGCAGGATCCGAGGCGGAACTGAAACGTGTGCCGTGTTCGCCTTTTCCTTGCAGTCGAGGTCGAAGGTCTCGGGGCCCAGGCCCCGGCGCAGCACCGTGGCCGGGATCCAGCTGCGCTGAGAGGCGCTGTGGTATTCCACGACGGAGCCCTCCTGGATGCAGTGAATGTTCTCGGGTCGCACGCGAGGCTTCACGCTGAGGTCGTAGGTCCCATCCTGCTGCTGGTGCTGCTTCTCCTCCATCCTCATGAAAGTATTATGGTGTTCCTCCGCACACTCCTCCTCCTCCTCCTCCTCCTCCTCCTCCTCCACCAACTCCCCCTCCTCCTCCTCCTCCTATTGCTCCTCTTCCTCTTCCTCATCATCCTCATCAGCATGCGCATCATCATCATGGTGCTCCTCATCGTCATCACCATCTTCACCATCATCATCTAAATCACCAACAGCATCAACATCATGATCATCGCCACCATCACCACACCCATCATCACGTTAACCATTGTCGTCGTCATGGACAGCCTGCGCATCATCATCCTCATTCCCCTCATCGTCATCAAAATCGCCTTCATGGACATCATAACATTCATCATCAACATCATCATCACCCTCACCACCGTCATCATAATCGCCACCCTCGTCATCATAAGACGCATGATATACATCACCGTCATCATAACCAGCATCATCAGTGGTTTGCCTATATATCGTCGGCGTGTGTAAATGCTTATTTAAATTGTTCGGTTATTGCTGCTATTGTACGTGATTTTCGTATTCGTCGAGCTCAAAAGAGGTTGTTAGGTCCCTGCGAACCGAAGACAACATGGCTGCAATGTCCGGTTAGCAGACTTGCTGAAGGCACTGCGTGCGTGTATATGCTCCGGCCGGCCGAGAGGGAGCGAGGCCGCGCGCGCACTTTTGCCCTGCGCGCGCAAGCAGCTGCGGGCACACCCGCATCCGCCTTTACCCCTACCCATTCTTTGTTGAAGGGGATGGGCAGGGCAGTTTAACCAGGCGAGCGGGGCATGAATAATGACTCCCCCCGCGGCCTCCCGGCGAGGCACGGCCGCGCGCGGGTGGGCGTTGGCGCGATGGCTGACGCCCCGAGCAAAAGAGGCGGGACACGCCGCGTGGAAATCAGCGGGCCCCGAGGGCGGAGGGACAGACTTCACCCTTTCCCCAGAGGCCACCTTGCGCCCGGCGCCAACCCCCAAAAAGATTGAGGGCGCGCGTGGGAGGGAAGGGGGTACTCTTGCCACCGTTCCATGGGACTTGCCGGGGGCCTCCCGGCGCGCCCCACCCTAAATAAGAACCGCTCTAGCGCGCTGCCCATAAAAAAAGAAAAAAAAATAAAGAGCTATAAAAAAATAAGGCGCGCTGCCCAGCGCTCAACTTTGTTCCCCCCCGCGACCGGAGCGCCACCATCGAGCCCACAATGGGGGCGCAGGGCCCACGAGGAAGCGACGCGCTACTCTGCGAAGCTTCGACCCCGCCCATCACGGATCGCCCGGCCCTTCCCCTCCAAACAGCCCGCGCGCACTTGCTTCGCCTCACCCAGACTCCCCGACTGCGCGCGCATATGCGCCGAGCAACTTCAGCGGCAGATGGCCCGAAGGGACCATTGAAGATGCAATTGCTCAATGATGCTTGTCTCGAGCTCGCGCTCGCGCGCCCGGTGCCACTGTCTCTCGTCGCCCGGGCATTCTACACGCAGCGTTTAGAGGTCGCGTGAAGCGCAGCTCCTGAGGTTATTGGCGCGGGTTCCTCAATGCCCCGCGGCCTATTCACGCCTTCCGCGACGCTCGCGGGAGCGACGGCGAGCAACCTTGCGACGACGATTCAGATCAGCGAAGCTAAGAGATCGGTCGGAAGACTCGAGGACGCGGCCAAGGCACCCACACCCCTTGGCCGCCCGCTTCCCGCTGCGCCCCTACAGCCGCGGTGCGTATAACATATGCCAACTGAACAACACGTCGCCCCCCTTCGAAATGCAAACTGACCTCGTCGACACTCTTCGCGCTGAGCCCCCCTCGCTTTCCACTCATGCCCCCCTTCACTTGCCGCCCCCCCATCGCTTCCACGCCGCGTGCCACTTGCATATAGGTGGCGACCCTGCTAAGATCCTTATGAAGCCCGCGCTGATATTCCCACTTCCACGCGAACTCGGCGACGCGCCGCCGCAAATCGAACGCGCGCGCTCTGCAGCCCGCCAACAGGCCCAGGAAACAAACGGCCTGGAACCTGCCCGAAAGTCCCGCGTCGCCAGGGACACGCGCAAACACGCGGCCTGTCGCGCGCGTGAAATCACACGCGCGCGTGGATGTCACGGCGCGGTCCAGGGCATTATAGAGTATATGCAAGTCGTCGTCGTTGATGGCCACGGCAATCGGGAACGCGAAAGAGAACGCAGCATCATAGGAGTTCGCGGCAATACCTGGCGCCCGTGTCCTCTGCATGCTCGACAACCGAATCTAATCTGACTGCGCCCCCAGAAAAAAAGGAGCATCTGCGATGTCAGCATCGGAGCCTTGATCGGACGTGAACGACCAAACTTCGCCAATCGAGATTGGCGGATGATCCAGTCTCGAGTCTTGCACAATGGAGCGCGCTAAATACCTTATGGGCCACTGTCGCGGCCCCCGTTCCAACGGTGGTCAACGGCGCGTGGCGCTGCTCGATGTCTGCTCTGGCATGCGCTCTCTCCCTCGCCAGAGCGCCAGAGCGCGGGAGTTCCCGATCTTCCTGAAGGACAAAAGAAGTTTCTGATTTTGATCGTCGAGGCATCTGCGATCAGATGCCCGCGGCCATAATGTTGCGCCCAAGCAGTTCTCTGGCATGCAGCATGAATTATGTTCGCCCTGAAATTCGCTCGTCTCAGAACCTCCTGCGATTGTACCTGGCGGGGCCCTCCGGGAGAGCAGCGCGCGCTTTCGCGGCCTCCTCCCGGGAGAGCGACAGTTGCAGAGCTTGCGTGATTATTTGCTTCAAGTCAGTTGACTGGTCGATCATGTCAATGCTCATTTGCCACGCCCTGAGGACCGCATCGGGCTTGAAACAATTCGCGCACCAAGGGGGGCTGGCCACAGAGTCCGCGACGATCAGCCCGCTAGAGGTGTCTCTGGCCATGTCATCGGGAACTTCAATTTCCCCCAATGGCGCGCACGCCCCCCCCCCCCCGAAGGGTGGATCGCCCGCGCAAGCCATGCTGCAATAACTGAGAGGCGCTAGGATCAAAAGGACATGCGAGATCGCGATCTGTTCAGCCAATGGGAAAGACGCGGCCCTGAACGCGCGCATTGACAACTTCCTGCGTCAACTAACCCACGGCGCCAGCATGCATCAAGCACGCGCGACGCAGGGCTCAACTTACACGCGGGCCCCCAGGGCCGACGATCAGTCGGCGGGATGCGGAGGAGGGCGCGTCGATTAACATTGGCGACCTTCCACGCTACAGCGTCGGCCCCGCAGCCACCGTTGATCTCCTGCTCTGGCACTGACGGGCGCGACCGCGCAAAACGCTCCCCTGCGGACTCCAGGGCAACAACGCCATGAGGAAATGCGCGGGGCGCTTCAGCTGCGGCCTCAGTTCGCTTCATCTCCCGGGAAGGCCCCATGTAAATAACCGGAACCGCTGGGGCACCGCGCCCCGCGCGGTCTTTCGTCGACCGCCCCCCCCCCCCCGCCGCAACCAGGGAAAAAATGGAACGCGGCCGACGCGGCGGAGAGGCTTTGGCGGAGTTGGGCGGGGGACGCGACGCCGGAAGGGACCGCGCGAAATAAACCAGACGACGACGACGACGACGGCGGCGGCGACGACGACCACGACGACGACGACGAGACGACGGCGACGAGATGACGACGACGACGACGACGACGACGAGACGACGACGACGACGACGACGACGGCGACGGCGAGAGCGACCGCGACGACGAGGAGGCGACGACGACGACGACGAGACGACGACGACGACGACGACGACGACGACGAAGCCCGACAACGACGACAACAAGGGAAATGCGGAGGAAGCGCATGGCCATGTTAGGGCAAGATTTTGGATTCTCGCGGCGCGAGGGGAACGCACTGGGACGGCGTGCGTTTTCTTAATTATGCGCGCGCGTGCACACGCACACACACACACACACACACATATATATATATATATATATATATATATTCATATGTATGTATATATAAATAAATGTAAATCGGGCTCTCGATGAAGTATCGTGGGAGATCTCATTCCCGTGGTATCGCGGGGGCTCTTCCTCTGACCTTCGAGCCGGACCGGGCCCCCCCTGGGGCATTCGGGGGGGCGAGCGCCGCGAGCTGCGGATGTTCCAGGGTCGCAAGGGCAAACGCAGCCTCCTCCTCTTCCTGATCCTCCTCCTCCGCCCCCCCTCCTCCTCCGCCTCTTGCTCGCGCCCTTGCTGCTCCTGGGGGGGGGGGCGTGCCCCTGCGCGCCCCCTATGCGCGCGAGCCGCGCCGGGATGCCAACGGCGCGCGTGCCCTAGAGGATCTGGTTCACGACCCATGTTGCCACTGCGCCTTCTCAGATTTTCTCGCATGCGCTAATCCCGGGATGGTACCGGATGACGTTCGGCTCCATTTTCACTTCCCGCGCTTGGCTGAGCAGCGCCAAAGCCATCGACCGCTGATCGCCCCACTCGCACGCGCTGATCCCGGCGTTGTAGCTGATGTCGTCAGATTGCCCATTGGCCGCAAACGCCGCGCCGAGCAGCGCCAAGGCTTGCAGCCCGTGCTATCTAGATTCGCAAGCGTTGATCGGGTCGCTGAAGCTGAGGACGTCACACTCCACATTTGAAACCCACATTCCGCTGAGTAGCACCTTGAAGCCCACTGCCGCTGCAGGAATTTCCAACAGGCGCTGATCCCAGCAGACAAGCAGGTGACGTTGGGCTACAAATTCGAATTCCACACCCCGCAGAACAGCAAAGCCCACTGCCACTGCCCAGGATTCTCACAAGCGCTGATCGCAACACTGTAGTTGGTGACGTTGGGCTCCACATCCGAGTTTCACATCCCGCCGAGCAGGAACGCAGCCCGCTGCCACTGCCAAGATTTCTCACAGGCGCCGACCCCTGCACTGCAGCTGGTCGGGTCGCCACATGGCCCCCAATACTCCGCGGAACCGCCCGGCATCCTGCTGCAATTGCTAACCCCCCGACGCGCGCACGGTCAGGCACTGTAGCTGGTGGCGCGGGGTCCCGCATTCGAATGCCACGTCC